CTTACCTCCTTACCTCACATTACTTCACGCGCTTTTAGGATGGGTACATTTCACTAAAGGCCTTGGCACACCTAGCAAGGTGTGCCAAGGCACACCTAAGTATTTGCCACACTGAACGCGTTATGCCTTTTTTTCTTCTTTTTTATTTTTTGTTTTAAATTCTTATTTTATTCAATGCATGTTGCAACATGCTTTTTTTTTTCTTTTGAAATAATTATTTATTTATTCTTTTTCCTTTTTAATATTATATTTTATTTATTTTTTATCTATATCACACTTTACACTACAGATATATTCAAATTTTATCTATATTACATTTCACAATATGTATCAATAATTTACATTTCTTATCCACATTTAGATTTCATATCCACATTCTTGCTAATTTAATTGAACATATTTGGACTCATTTTGCCAACAACTAAAAAAAATATTTTTTGTAATTGTACTTTTTTTCTTGTGTAATCTTAATTTAAGTTATTTTGGTCTTGTAGTGTTTTTTTCATTTTTATGCATTTAAAATTTATTATTATAATTTAAAAATGTTAAATTTATTTTTATTGAGAATATAATATAATAAAAATATATATATTGAATGAGTGGATAATGGGTTCTACATATGTATTTAAATGAATGCGTAGGAATGTGGGTGCGTGTTTAAATGGAGAGAGATTTAATGAAAAGATGATGTGGAGATTATGTGGATAAGAGAGAGTGTTTACTTTTTGGTTGAATGAATGATTTTTCTGTCAAGGAATGTGGATGTCCTAAGCATGAATATAAATCTAAATCCACATTCGCACGGTAAATTGACAAATATGGTCATGAAGTACCAAATTCGATACATGCGACAAATAGAATTACGAGCACCATAATTAAACATGACTACGAAAACTCTACAATTATATATATATAAGGATGATGCGGTTTTGCTATGGAGTCATCGGATGGCTCGGTTTATGGAGTCATCCACATTTATTCACAAATGATTTTTTGGCACGTGTCTGTAATAAATGTACATTGAACACATGTCAGTACATAAAGTTATGAATGACTCTGTAAAAGAGTCATCCGATGAATAATATTCCATTGAATTTCTGAGGATGATAACCCTAACAATTAACTGTGCATTGTTAAATTATTTTTGTCTTGTATCCAAAAGTTTTAACATGTATCCCTCCAATATTATATCAATTAATAACCATCACAAAGCATAATCTGAAAAAATAAAATAAAATAAAAAACTTCACAAAGCATAAAATAAAATAAAAACCTAAAGTTGACTGGATCATCACTTCTTCTGATTTTGGTCGTCAAACCATCGCCATGACATGCCGGGGCCCGCAATAATTATATTATTTGACTTTGATATTGAGCCATCCTATAAGACATAAAATAAAATTAAAGCAGTTAAAATGTATTTTTTTTTTATAAAAAAAAAATAATAAATTATTTTATATTGTAAAATATTATATTTTTAATTAAAGAGCAACTATTTATTTTATTAATAACAGTCTAATAAATCTCTTATACGTACCTTCATTTCTTGTATTATTTTTTCAAGGCTCGTGACCTACAAGACATGGAAAATATCATCATCAATTATCATTAGAGGCAAAATTTTGGCAGGCACACAAATAACAACAACAACAACAACAACAACAAACACTATAAACATACGTACCTTAATTTTGTCTACCAACAAGTCACTCTTTGTTAATACTGCAGAACGAGTGAATTCAAGGTCCTCCTGCTCAATTCAGACATCATGCGCATATCAATGTTTCGAACCATTTTATTAGCTTAAAAACGTCAAAACTTTCGACATTTTTTTTCGAGCTACCTTTCTTAAGTAACAAGGGCAATATCTCTTTCCTCTACCATCATCCAGCGACAAACCATCCGACTGCAAAAGGACATTTAAAAAAATTCATTAACGTGACAATTTGTCGAAGTTCCGCAGCCATATATAGAGCGTACTCTCTACGTGTTTAGATCAATAGAATCTCTAAAGGTTTCCAGTTTGATGCGGATTTTTTCTTTTCTACTAGCTAGTCACTTTATTAGGATCCGAGTTAATTATTTCATGACGATATTCTTCTCCATTTTCCTACCTTTATACGGATGGACCAGATGAGATGTCCTTCATTCAGATATATGTAGCCGATCAAACCTTTTGGTGCATATGCTCTCCCGTGACGCTGACTTTTCGTTTGGAATCTATTATCTTTGTGTTGTTGGTTGTTGTTGTCAGTTTTTTCTTGTTTATTTTCTTGTTATCGTTTTCGTTTTTCGTTTGAAGATGTATATCAGTCATTGAACTTGTAGATTTGTGACTTTTCAGCCCATGTATGGCCTTTTATATACAGGTTGGGGGTCTGGTCTAACCCCACCCTTCTGGGGTGTTATCTTTGAAAGAAAAAATATATTTATTTTGAGATAGATAGAAATTTGATGTAGAGTAGTATATGTTGTTATTATTATTATTAATATTATTATTGTTATTATTATTATTATTATTGTTATTATTATTATTAGTAGTAGTAGTAGTAGGTAGTTTGTAGAATAAGTTAGGAATTTAATATAATTATATAATATTTAGTAAGAGATCTAGTCATGTTGGACAAGTTAGTAATATGATTTAGGAGTCTTATATAAAAAGACTCCCTCTAATTTATTTTGTTGGCCGATGAATTATAGAATGAAAAGATGGATTGATTCATGTTTAGGTGTTCTTGAGATTGCAATCTCATTAACATCGTCTCTCACTCGTATGCTTCACTACATCACAATTACTCCACAAAATTTAACTTGTTCAAAAGAGAGGTAAGACTTCTATTGTGATATTTCTACGAATAGTAAAATTAAATGGGGTTTACATGAATTGTTATCTTTGGTGAATAGAATTTAGATTATTTTTTTTATTTCTTATTAGATAGTTAATTCATCCTATAACTAGTACTCGTCAAAATATTATCGAGACGCTGCAGTAGTAACATTTAATTAACACAAATTTATGTGGTACACCACACTGCTCGTCAGTGACTATAGCTACCCAAATTTACTGAGCCCAACTTAGTCATACTCACCCCAACTAGCCTTGTTCGAGTTCTAGCATGCCTGTGCACGTTTAATTCTCATTTCACTCACCTAAGAATTCGTCGAAAGCCCAAATGCGGGTTATTAAAAACTCGATTTTGAACTTCAGACTAATATTTTTCCATATATAGTAAGTATTTTGTAATTAGTAACAAATAAATGTGGAGCATAAAACCTGGAAAACAGGAACTCCCCGAAAACTGGCTTCGGCCGTATTCTTGTTGGTATTCTTTTTAATTATCTGAGAAAGACGAGAGTTTCATGTACACACAAACAATTAACATTAGAAAAAATCAAATAAAATTGATAGGAAAATGAAAAAAAAAAAAAAAATTGGCAATAAGCCAACAAAATAACATCACACACACACACACACACACACACATACCTCAATGGCATGCTTTACTTGTAACAACTCCGGTACCAGCCTCATTGGAGGGTCGTCTACTCCCACATCGAGAATCTAATTGTGAGAAAATAAAAAAAAAAATAAATTAAAACTATTAATGAATTAGATTCGTTAAAAAAAAAACTAACATTAAATTAAAAGGAAAAAAAAAAAAA